GACAACTACGAGGCCAAGGAATACCACGCGGAGGACAACTACGACCATGAGAACAAGTATGCTGACAAGTATGATGATGCTGAAAAGTACTACAAGCGTGACGGCTACTCCGCTGACTACTCACCTGACTACGACTCTTATGGGGATCACAAGTACCAAGAGTATGGATACGAGGACAAGGATGATTACAACGAGTACGAAACCAAGGAATACTACTCCAAGGACAAGGAGAACTACAAATCTGAAAACAAATATGACGACGCTGAGAAGTATTACAAGCGAGATGGATATGTCGCCGAGTACGCTGACTACGACGCGAAAGAATCTTACGGTGGCAACAAGGACAACGACTATGGGTACAATGCCAAGGAGGAATACAACGAGTACGAAACCAAGGAATACTACAATGACGAAAAGGACAATTACGACTACGACAACAAGTATGCTGAAAAGTACGACTCCAATGACGAAAAGTATTACAAACGCGACTATGGATACAAGGCAAAGGAAGAGTACAATGACTACGAAGCCAAGGAGTACTACTCAAAGGAGAAGGAAAACTACGACCATGCTGACAAGAACTACAACTCTGATAAATACTACGCCGCCGACTACTCTGACTATACTTCCAAGGATTCTTATGGAGACGACAAGTACAACGACTTCGGATACGACACCAAAGACAAATACGACGAGCATGAGGGCAAGAGCTACCACAACAACGACAAGTACGCGGAGGCAGACAGAGATAACTACAAGGAGAACCAGTACTGAGAATGGAGTTCATGAAACTTATCGTTACTACTCTTTTAATTGAATAATACATTACTTTATATCCAATTCTGGGTTTCTTTTGTTGATTGTGTTTCTTATGTGGGCCATGATGAGCAGAACTACAATCGTGAAGGATACTCTGATTATAATGAGAAAAAGTCTTACGGAAATGACAAGTACAACGACGACGGAGAAAAGTCCAAGGAGGAATACAAGGATAGTTACAACTAAGCTGACAATACGCAATGCAAAGAAGTATTTCTCTTCTGATTATACTGGGATTCCTTCGATGACAACAGCTCTGGATTTACGACCAAGTACTACGAGGGCTACAACAAGGTCAAGTAGGGAGAACAGATTGACAATAAGGAGAACCAGTAATGATCTTGGTTCTTTTAATATCAATAATTAAGTTTATTTTGTTGTATAATTGTAAATAATATTGCTGCTCTCTTTGGTTTTGATGTCTGTTTCGAAACTGTTATTATGTGAGAGCACCTCAATGATTTGCGAGGAATATTGAAGTGAAAAGCACAGTAGGCAAGGTATAACAGTTTAGTTCAAGAATTTGGCCACTCTGACATGTTCCAGAGGTTAAATTGCGAGAAAGGTATGCAATTAGTTGCAATCATTGTTGGGTGCATTGTTGTTTGTTGAGACGACGCACAAGACCATTAATTCACTCAACGCGCCTTGGAACGCTTTTGAACGTTATAAGCAACATTCGTAAATATCGACTGAAACTCTCATCAAAATAGACCCAAAGAATTAACAAATATGAATCTTTTTATATGTTAGTCGCATCATGGGGTTATAGCTCAGTGGTAGAGCGCCTGCTTCGCATGCATGAGGCCCAGGGTTCAATCCCCTGTGACTCAACGTTTTTCGAGGGGGCCCAAAGCAGGTACTGTTGGAATACTGTGAAGAGAGAAAACCCAACCCAACCGATCCTGATATTCGTATTCCACCATGCCTAACCACAACTAAAAAGCGTTTTCTTCCCGCATTCGCTTCCTTTCACGGCAGCACGTAAGAATTCATGACTTACATCTTAAATCGGTTTTTAG